CTTGAGCCTTTCTTTCCATCACCTTTGACCTGTTTACCTTTTCCTTTACCTTTTCCTTTGACCAGGCTTGCAATCCACTGTCCGATCGAATCGACGTCCATGGGTTGAGGTCCTTGATAACTAGAGCTCGATGAACCTGGTTTTGGAACAGATGACTTTGATGTAAGGGATGATTCAATGACAAGTTCAATCTCCTGTTTGATCAATGAATAGGTTGTCAATCTACTCTTGTTCAACAAAAGATGTTTCTCCAAATCTGGGGGTACCAGCATCTCCAATGAAGCGGACTTGATGTCGTCCGATAGAGTCTCCCTTATTCCTGCGGCACTCCTCCGGGACTCGTACCGCCTGATGAGTTCTTCGAGCTGTTCGATCGCTGGCCTCACCGCGGACCACGTTTTGACTCGTTCAGGTTGGAGAATTGCGTGAAGTATATTGCGTTTCCGTCCCGAGGTTCGGGGATCCCAACGACGGAAAACCCGTCGATATGCTTCAAATCCATTTGAAGCTCCTACCATCAAATCCTCTGTTTCACCTGAGGTCAGGGTCAGGAGGACGCGATGAATTTGATCAGCTTTATCCTCTAGATCGTCGATGGCTGCTATAGTACCAGTCCCAAACGCGGACTCCATGGCACTCATTTCAATCGCGTCTTCCTGCTCCAAAATATACTCAAGGATTTCAATGAACTCTCTCCCAAAGGTAGTTATGAACAGGTTGTCGATGCTCCTGGCCCACTTTCGGAATTCCCCTTCAACGTTCCCAAAACTCTCAGGACGGCCCAAACCTTTGGTGTCCATAAGTATTTGGGACTTTCGTCTATTTTCCTTTTTCTCAAGGCTCTTAGCCAGTTCTCCTACAGCTGAAGCCAACATCGATACCCCACCTTGGGATTCTCTCAATACCTGGTTCTCTTGTTCCAAACGTGCCTGGTTTTGCTGGAGTTGCAAAACCATATCAGACAACTGTTGGATCTGCTGTTCCAATGCCATGGTTTCTTAATCTCAACCCCGAAGGCGCTGCTCTCGCACCTTTTCCGCTACGGACGATTCGTCCGATCTCCGGCCCCTCTTCTTTTGTTTCTGCGGTCCTTTCAACCGCTGAAGTTGTTTCTGCGGTCTTCTCAACCGCTGGAGTGGTGCTTGCGGCTGGATCCGCCGCTGATGTGGCTGGCAAAGGCTCTTTCTCCTCCTCCTCTTTTTCTTTACTTCCTTCTCCTTTTCCACTCGGGGCGGCAGAAGCTGCCGCTCCCGAGGATCCCAGCTCCTCCTCCTCGGAGCTCTCGACTTTACTGTGTCTTTCTTCCTTTAGGCGGAGTGCTCGGTCCCTGTCACTCTCACCGGACCCTTTCGCTACCATGAAAACGAGGTTTCGACGTTTCGGAACGCCTTTTCACCTTGAGCCAAAACACGTCATGAGTCACGTGTCTGCAGTACTCTAGCGGAGTATTTATGGGCTGTACATGCAAACACTAGATAATTAATATATATATATATATATATAGAGAGAGAGAGACTATAGATATATTAGACGCCTCTGAGAATTGATAGGCCTGCCAAGCACAAGTCTTTGCGCTTGGCACCCCCCACAAACGGAGTGACACCTGAATCATTTGATCTGACCATTCGGTGCGGCTCTTGCTAACTCATTGGGTTATCTTCGGCCATGAACTCCGTGGGCTTTTGATCGTTCAGTCTCAACTCTCATGGTTCGGCGATCCATTTTCCATGTTCCTCTTCGCCGGAATTCGTGTGACACGAAAAAGGCGAAGACGCCGCTCTGAATTCTAAACAGGATCGATCAGACTCCCAAAGACAGAAAACTGACTTGCTGCTCCCCGAAAAGACCCGCCTTCACCGGAGATCCGATAAGTCACCTGGCACTCATCTCCTGTCCTGGGCGATGTGTAGGCCTTCCAGAGATGGAATCAGTATACTGCCCCAATGTCATGCATTTGGAGTGTATCTGATCTTTGCGATCTTGGGATGCATCACCATTTAACTAACAAAGCTACGGCAAAATTTGCAGGATTAACTACTGAATCACGAAATCTCCCCGGAGGATTGCCCAATGTGTTGCACTCCACTCGTCGAACCGGGCCGTCCGAGCTGCCGTGGGCATCGCCCCTCTGAAGTCTTGAGGATGGTCTTCACTGCAGCTCCATCTTCGAAGAGGTCTTCTCCTCACTTCTCCGATTAAGCCCCCTTTCCTATGCCAAACATCCCCTCACAAGAAAATGACCAAGTACCACCCACAAAACTGAGGGTTGCTGCTGGATCCGCTGCAAATTCTTCTCCGGGGAGGTGATGCCGTAAAAAGCCGGGGCAGCGGATCACATAGTTCAAGTTGGATTAGCAACATATCATTTTCGGCACCCCACCGAAGAATCCTCTTTTCGTGCTTGTGATGTGCGGCCCCTTCCAGGTCTGAAAAACCAAGTTGCCCTGCCGATCCTTCACACCAACATGGGCCATGGTCCGGTTGGTGAAGGGAAGACGGAGCTTGGTAGGGAAGGTCCGGTTTTCCATGTCTATGTCAACAATCAGAAGGTTCAAACTGCCAGTGCCCCTAATCTGGGGAAGGTTGAAACACCCGTCATTGAGCCAAGTCTCTCAAGGGACAAGCGACCAACTCCACCTTGCCAGCTCAGAGGTGAGCTCGCACGTCGGAAAACTCATGTCATGCCCAAGCTGGGCGTCCCAACTGGCAGTTTCTACGGGGCTTGGATGGGTTTTGCCAAACCAAAATTATCAAAACCATTTGTCAGCCTACCTGAACAAGTCAACACATGTCAACACCGTCTCACTAGACCAGCTGCATTTTGGGCCCCTTCGTCTGGCTGCCTGCAAGCCCTTTCCCGTTCTCTCGACTAGCCGGGCTTTCGGTCGGCCTCAAGCTTGGCTGTGCTGACCGGCCCCTCAATGCAAGTGTCTTCTGCATCCAGCATCGACGTGGGCAGTGTAAAATCAGCATGCTCACCTTTGTACCTCTGGCCCACTCCGCAAGGGATGAACACATAAATGGAACGCAAGCGCGGGCCAGCACAAAAGGAGGCAAGGACAGATTGGCAAAGCCTTTCCGGAATCAAAAACACCCTATTTAGGTGGACATAGCTTCCAATAGGGAAGCAAACCAAGAGGCAAACAAACAAACAGTGCTCAACAAGTGGACTCCTTCAAACCCGTCTTTGGGGCATCTTCATGGAAGCAGCCCCATTGCAAGAGGAGTTGTTGCATGAAATGAAGCAACACAAAAAAAGGTTCCCCTAAGGACCGCTTGACGTTGGATTGGTGCCAAGGTCTTGAGGAAAGCGCCCACCCGGACAGGACATCTCCAGTTTTCACACTTTCGCACCACATGTTGTGGGCGATCACAAGCCCAAAAGTGCCAATGTGGTTTCGTCTACAGAAACACCGCGATCAGCACAAACTAGCATGGACACCTGAACCCAACATAGTGACCCTCAGATGGAGAAACACATGGAGACAAGTGCAGCTCAAATCGTTTCATTCTCTTTTCCGGGCAGGAGCTGGAGAGGACCAAAGCGATTCGTCAGCCATGCCATAGATCCATCCAAGGCACATATGCTGCACAGCCATATCCACAGCATGGACTGAAGCTTCGCCTACTTTGAACTTCGTTGTTTCAGCTCCTGTGCAGCTCTGTCACTTTCAGCATGAGACAAGGGCATGGATTTATATATATATATATATATCTGGTGTGACTATGTGTGACTCGATATGAGGAATTCCGAAGACGAATCAAAGGACAAATCTTGAGAACAAACCATATTTACGACTGGTAGGTACCTTGCAAGCCTTGCACAAACAACACTGGAGAACTGCAGGGAGCATTGAGGGGTGTGGTGTGCGGAGTTTGTTCAAAGACGGCGACATAAATTCTCAAAACTAGTTGTCGAGCAGAAGCAGCATCCCTTGTTTCAAGTCATTACCAATGAGAATTGGTGGACTTGCACAATGCTGAAACACCGCCCGGACGCAGCCTAAAACCATCCAAGCTTCTCTAGATATCTTAAGACCAAAAGCAGCATGCTATGTTTATTTCCTCTAGTGAAGTCGTTTGTTCCCCTGCGCAGGGAGGATCCCGTCAAATCGAGTGACTCTAAGCCCCATCACAATAATTGGAGGAGGCCTTCTTTGACACAGGTGAGTTGATTGACGAATTGATCTATTCATGTCCACGTTCAACCGGTGAACCGTGGCCAGCACTGTGGACATACGCGGCACATCCCACAAAGCTTAAAGACCAGTTTGGAAATGGCTAGGCTTGTCATTATTTCTCCGGATTGATGTCGTTTGCTCCCCTCCATTTTGTTGACCGGCAGGCGCATTTTCTCGGTGATAGAGCGAGCCTCTCCTGCCGCCTTGCCAAAACACGGCAGCTAGACCGTGAGGTTGAAACAAAATAGGACAAACCTTACTCTGATCCGCCACCCATACTCACCAATCCAATTCACAGGAAGGGAGACGATGCTACAACACTTCCGCAGAGTACAGCTTGGCAATTAACATGGGTGCTCGTCCAAACCTGCACGAAACCCTGCGGCCAGCCACTCGCAGCGGCAGCAACTCAAGCTTTCTGCCCCCTTCCATCCAGCCTGTGGAGTGCAGCTGACGACCCGCGAAGGAGAAAGTGAAGCGCACTTCAACCTGGGCACCGTCGTCGTCGCCGTCGTCTGTGCCTTCTGCCTTCGTTGCACAGTTGGTTTTGACCCATGCATCCTCATGTCAGGGAGTTAGCTACGTGCCACTTGCTGCTATCATCTACGGAGACAGTGGCCCATCCAGCTCGTTCCGTGCAAGCTCCCTAAGCTTTGTGATTCCACTGCCATGATTTCAAGCTCTCACAGTAGCTCCCCAAAGACCTGGTTTCAACCCCAACCCCAACCCCACCGCCATGTCTCATGCACATCCCCGCGTACCTTATCTCCCTCATAGGGCGGCAAAAACTTCCGGCTGGGCGGATGCCGGGTGGTTTGCTTGGTGACGCCAGCGGGAAGATCATCGATCTCCATGGCAAGAAAAGTCAAGAAGTCAACTCAGGCCATGGTTGGCCATGGGCTTTGGGAAGCTTTGCTTGGCCTTCCCTTTGCGCATACTGTTTGTGTGATCCGTGTCTGGCTTTGGCTTGGTCTTTCCCAATGGTTGAGGCAACGGGAATGTATATGTCTGACCGGATGGGTTTCGTGGGATGAAAGTTGAGCGGCTCGTCCAGTTTCTATGGCAGTGTGGCTGTAGGAGTGTATGTTAGCTGGGACCGCATGTAGGTCACAATGGTATCGATATGGCTGATATACTGGCTGATATGGCTCTGGCTTGTTAGCAAGGATGGGGGCCTTCCGGCTGCTTGTGGAAAATGGCTGCGATGACTGCAGAATCCTGTCGGGCTGACAGGCGACTGTACACGTGCGGGAAGGCACAGGATGGCATAGGGGCCCATGGGCGGATTCCAACTATATAGTATTATATAGTGTTTTCGGGACCGGATGAGCATGGAATGCCGTAAGAAGTGCCCGACTGCCCAAGGATCAATTCCTCCGCTCGATGCGGAGAATGAATCAAGTATCCGCACCGCAAAGCATGCCTAGGTGAACTCTTTCAAGAGACAGAACGGTCAATAGACCTTCAATAGAGCCTTCAAGAAAGACTCGTGACCCCGGGCCTTAGGGAACTACAACCACCTCATCCCTCCATATCACGCTAAGTACAACGAGCCTTTGGGATGCTAAGTGTTGACCTTGGCTCAGGGATCAGTCGAGTTGGGACGCCTCACTTGCCATCAAATCACCGCACACCATATCCAAGAGCTTCTTCGTCGCATGATTTCCACGGAGTTGTGTAATAGCGCCGCTCGAGCCATTCAACCCACCCTGGAATCCTGGCCTTCAGGGCATTTGATCTGCTCGCAAGGGGAAGGGCAATAGAAGCCTGGCTTGCCACTTGCCAGCTACACCGAAGATGCATGAAAAACGCACTTGGTCGCACTTGAGGTCAGCAAAGTCCAGGGCTGGGTTCTGTAGATTGTTTTTCTCTACTATAATATGAGCTCGTGTGCAATCTTCTTCCTGATCTGAGTTGAGAGAAGAACATTGCCAAGCTGAACCAACCCATTTTCCGCGGTCGGCCGGCGACGATGAAGGCCTTTGCGGCAGCTGGCCGGCACCAAGCTGCCTTTGGGACAAAAGCTCCCACGGAAGCATTCCAAAACCATGAGTGATGTAGGGCCTCAGAATGCGGTGATGTGATATTATGAACCTATCTGGTTTTATGCGGTTTTATCCATTCATTACAGGGATATTGATATGCTTATCCCAAGCTCATGTATATACAACTCTACATGCACAAGCGGATTGTTTGTTTAGGATTGTAATATTTATATATATAGTATAATTCTCATGTCATATCAAAGCCTGGATTTACAAAAACATGCCTTGCTATGGCATTTGTCTGATTCATTCGTTCTGTTCTTTCATAGTCTGGTTCATTGTCTCCTCTGATGCCCATTCTGCTGGGGCTTCCGAGCAGTAGAAACCCTCTGGACATGGCCTCCATCGAGACTTCATCTAAAGTCTCTGAAGCTTGCCGATTTGTTTGTTGACTTTACGGCCTATATATATATACGGTCTATATATATATATATACCGAAACTTATGCTGAACGCTCGTTATTTTTTCACAGTTCAACACACTTGCCCAATCTTGCCCACCACCATGGTGCGCCCTGACACGCCCTCCCCTACTCAAAGCAAATCCAGCACTAACCACCAATGCATGGCATGGCAAAAAGAGCTTCCTCCAGGAATGAATGCCAACCATCTCAAACCATCTTAAACCAAATCCCCACAAACGGTGCCGCAAGTTCACCCAGCCTGGGACTGGTGAGGCCTGTCTCGTTGCAAAGGCTCCCCTTGCCACAGGCCATAGGAGCAGTGTCGCCCTCCTCGCAGTAGTAGCCCTGAGGACAGCGCCGTACCTCTGTCGAAGCGTTGAACCGACCTACAGCGCGGTATGACCGCTGGTCGGGGGGGCACAAGGGGGCTGATTGAAGATGATGAAAAAGAGAGTCTCTTGGGCAATGATTGTTACTAGTAAAGCGAATGGGGTCAATGAATGATCTTGAGGTGCAAGAGAAGAAAAGAACAAGTGGTGGGCCAGTAAAAGAATGGCCCGCTAAAGAATGTTCACCTTTGTTTTTTCTGCATTGTTTGAGTTTGGACCCACACACATCCAATGAGTTCCTGACCTTTCCACCAGCTTCGGTGTTCCCGGTTCATTGATCTTCACACGCCACGAATCACTGGGGGGGTTCGGGATGCGGCGGGGCGGTTCGGTCATTTCGATTGGTCAAGACCCAACACTACCTTCAAGGCTCTCAGTCTTCAACCTTCAAGTCGCCTGAGCGCAGCCCAACCAGTGCTGCAAAGGTTGAGGCAGCCAGGTGGCGTTGTATCCTAAGCAATTTCGAGGACCACACCGCCCGCCCGCAAATGATTTTGGCCTGCTGAATTGCATAGATGTTAAATGAAAAGCCCCAGGGCAATGCAGTTACCAAAGTAGTTTCCCTTGCGGGGACTTGCCACCAAAGTGCTGTAGAAGCCAGGAGAAGAAGGATCAGCTCCGGCGTCCCCTCATGACATGCAAATGTCGTGCATGTTATCACTGTCCTTTCTCCCCACAGTAACACGTTCATCCATCATTTGGTTCACTTGACTTTTGTACAAAACGTGATCTGAACGGACCATATGGGGCACGCCGGGGATTTGGCTTCAAAAGAACACCGAGGCCGAGGCCAAGCACAGTTCTCCTGGCCTGGGCGCTCGAAGCCGGCAGGGCATCCACCTTTGGCGGCCTTAACATCTTGGGCCTCCCAAAAGCGAAAGTCCTGAACGGAAGGATGATGGATGGAGCAGTCTTGAAATGACTTTCTCCTGCTTGAACTGTGTGACCTGGAAATCTAAGAATCTAAGGAATGGATAGGAATGGTACATTGAAGAGGAAATACATATACTTTTGGATAGTTGAAACGCCAACACACCGGGCCCCGCTCCGGGTTGGAAACTACGCCGAGGGCTCACAAGGCTCCAGCATCTCTTAAGCGGAACTGTGAATTGCCCGTTGGCTGATCAAGGATGACAAAATGTTTGGCACGAGTCTCCGGAGGCCGTACGGTATCGAGCGTCAAAGAACTACTTTGAGTTCAAGGCTTTCACACAAGGGCTGACTGCCAGTAGTCAGTATTTATGGTGATCCCTTCACTCCTCCATCAGCTTAAATGGCAATGGCAGCGGAGCATCTGGCTCCCTAGGCCAATGGCAGCAACTGGACAAGGTACAGTTGCCAAAGGGGCTTAGTTGCAAGTGAGGAAGGTTCAGCATTTCTTCTCCAGTTCGATGCATCTGCAAATCGCAACAAACGACAAAAAGACCTTTCCCCCCTGTTCTTCGGCACTCTAGCCTCCAGCCCTGAGTTCTGAACTCCCAATGCTGGTCACATACTACGGAGCCCCAGGCATGGTTGCTCGCAAGAGCTGCCAGGAAAGCAGGTGCAACGCAGGTGCTTTCCCAACGCCTTCCATGACCCCCCCCCTGAGGCTTGGGATCGCCAGCTTCCGTGTCGACCCGAAGTGGCCAGGCGGCAGGAAGAAGGGCGCCACCCGTGTTTCATCCGAGTTGAGCAAGCAGCTGGGCGCCGGAGAGTCATCGGATCGGTTGAAGCGGTCGCCTCCAGCGGAGCGACGTCAGCGACCCGAAACGCTGGGCAGTCCCCACAGCACCAGAAATGGCAATGTACAAGTGTGTCAGAAGTGTGTCAGTGTGTCACAAAAATCACGTATATTAAGCCTGAACAAATCTGAAACAAATCTTCACCTGATGGGTTCGGTTGGGAGTTGGGCACGCTAAAAAGCGTGGCCAAAATTTGGAGTCAAGACTCATACGCGGGCCTGACTCTGCTCAATTTTTGGTGCATCTGTTCGACAAAGCACACAACAACTGTAAGGAAACATGACTTCGTGCAACTCTCTTGTAATTAGGTTATATATACACATCGAATTACATCGTGTGCCTCAGAAGCAGGACCGCAACAAATGAGGGAACCTGAAGTATGGCAATTCTTGTGTTCCAACTTGCTTGGAAGTAGCAGGAATCTCGACCAAGTGACACATGCAGCTGGTCTTGCCGCCGCCCTCAAAAGATGCGCCAGCAATGCACTGGCTAGCTTCGATCACCGGAAGCAAGGCCATCACAGCCTCTGCTTGGACGAACTGGTCGATTGAAGCGCTCTTCTTGACTGCTCTAGCTGCCGTACTGGGGTCAAGCAAGCTCGATTTGAGTGCAAACCAAGGCTAGAACTAGAACTGATACTAAATACATTCCGTATCAAAAGCAACAGGTTTAAGCCGAAGTGATGGCTAGCACAGTGATACAGCCCGTGAAACCTCATGAATGTGAGCGAGCGCATGTCAGTTTGCCCTGCTGTAATGCATGGTCATCTATGTAAAGTTGATGGTGGCACAACAAGCTCTAGCAGCAACTCTGTGACTCGCTCTTCTGCTGGACAATTACTCACCCCCAATCCCCCCAGCTAGTAAACATGCTTCTCAATCTAGAAACAAAACAAGCAAGCTCAAAAGGATTCGACCAACCAATGAAAAGCAGTCATTCTTCAATGCACTCACCTTTGTCTAGCCCAGCGCCGTGGACTTCATTTATCCGGCCCACATGGCACTCCATGTCCTTCCCAGTGGCCCACAGCGGTTTGGCCATGGACAGCAGCATGAGCGGCTAGCCAGACTTGGAGATGGAGAGGTGTGCAGTACGCATCAGAGTTGTGAGATTCCTCAACTATTAACGAGACGGTGGACATATGCCCCGTGCTCCGTCAAAGTGTGACTTGGCAAAGTGGTGGGAATTGACTCTCAACTTAGGAACCTTTCCATGGATTTCTTCTACGCACAGCCAAAATGGCTACCAGTTGGAGCATATTTGGCTAGCTTTGCGTCAACAAACCATCGGCTT